TACAGGCACGCGCCACCTTGCCCGGCTAATGTTTTGTATTTTTAGTAGAGACGGGGTTTCACCATGTTGACCAGGATGGTCTCGATTTCTTGACCTCGTGATCTACCCTCCTTGGCCTCCCAAAGTGCTGGGATTACAGGCTTGAGCCACCGCGCTTGGCAGGTTGTAATTGAATTCTTACACTGTAGACTTTTCAGACTGGCTTCTTTCATTTAATGACATGTATTTATGGCTCCTTCATAGTTTTGTATGGTTTTGTAGCTGATTTTTTAGCATTGAATAAAATTCATTATTTGGATATATCAGTTTGTTTATCCATATACAAACTGAAGTACATCTGGATTACATTCAAGTTTTGGCAATTATACATAAAACTACTATAAACATCTGTGTGCAGGTTTTTATGTGAACATACGTTTTCAGCTCTTTTGGGTAAATACCAAGTAGTGTGATTGCTAGATTATATGGTAAAGTATGTTTAATTTTGTTAGCAATTGTCAAACTGGCTTCCAAAATGGCTGAACCATTTTTTTTATTCTCAACAGCATATACAATTCCTATTGTTCCATATGCCTGCCAACATTTGCTATTGTCAGTGTTTTAAATATTGGCAATTCTAATAGGTGTATAGTGGTATCTCACTGTCATTTTAGTTTGCATTTTCCTGATAACATAGAATGTGAGGCATAAAATCGATGTGCTTACTTGTCATCCGTATGTCTTCCTGGTGAGGTGTCTGTTAAGTCTTTGATCTATTTTTCAATTAGTTTGTTTCCTTATTTTTGAGTTTTAAGAGTCCTTTATCATTTGGAAAAGACCTTGATCAGAAATGTCCTTAGCAAATATTTTCCCTCGGTCTGTGACTTCTCTTTTTATTCTCTTAAATTTTATCTCACAACGCAGAAGTTTTAAATTTTAACAATGTCTAGTTTGCCAGCTTTTTTTTTTTTTTTTTTTTTTTTTTTTTTTTTTTTTTGAGACGGAGTTTCACTCATGTTACCCAGGCTGGAGTGCAATGGCGATCTCCGCTCACCGCAACCTCCGCCTCCTGGGTTCAAGCGCTTCTCCTGCCTCTGCCTCCCTAGTAGATGGGATTACAGTCATGTGCCACCATGCCCAGCTATTTTTTTTTGTATTTTTAGTAGAGACGGGGTTTCACCACGTTTGCCAGGATGGTCTTGAACTCCTCACCTTGTGATCTTACTGCCTCGGCCTCCCAAAATGCTGGGATTACAGGTGTGAGCTACCACGCCCGGCCAACCATTTTTTTTTTTTTTAAATGGATTATACCCTTGGTGTTTCATCTAAAAAGTCATCACCAAACCATAGGTAATATAGATTTCCTCTAAAGTTTTAATTTCTAAGAGTATTGAGTTTTGCGTTTTACATTTAGGTCTGTGATCCATTTTAAATTCCTTTTGAAAGGTATAAGGACTGCATCTAGACTCATTTGTTTTGCATGCAGATGTCCAGTTGTTCCAGTGCCATTTGTTGAAAAGCCTGTATTTTCTCCATTGCATTGCTTTATTGCTTTTGCTTCTTTGTCAAGGACTTTGTCAGTTGACTTGTTTATATGAATCTATTTTGGGGCTATTCGTTCTTTGGTTCATTTGTCTATTCCTTCATCATTACCACACTCTTTGGATTAACATAGCTTTATAGCAAGTCTTGAGGTCTAGTATTATCAGTCTCTAAACTTTGTTCTTCTCCTTCAATATTATGTTGACTGTTCTGGATCTTTTGCCTCACCATATAAACTTTAAATCAGTTTGTCAATATTCACAAAAGTAGTTGAAATTTTGTTCATAATTGTATTGCAAACGTACATCAAGTTGATAAGCCTGAATTTTTTATAATATTGAATTTTCCTACAGATAAACACAAAATATTTACTTTTTAAATTTTTAAACTCAGAATTTTGTACAAAAATCTTGCACTTAAGAAAAAATTATACTTAAGTATTCCTGCTAATGTAAATGGCACTGAGTTTTTAATTTCAAATTTTACTTGTTCATTTCTGGTATATAGGAAATCTATTGGCTGCTGTATGAAAACTTATATTCCACAACTTTGTTAAAATTGCTTATCACAGGAATTCTTCTTTTTTATTTCTGTTAATTTTTTTCAGAATTTCTACATAGACAATTATGACATCTACAAACAAAGACTTTATTTTTCCTTCCCTATCTGTATATATTTTATTCCTTTTTCTTGTTTTATTGCATTAGCTAGGATTTCCAGTACTATGTTCAAAAGCAGTGGGGAAACGGGACATCTTTGCCTTCTTACTGATCTTAATAGGAAAGTTTTGAGTTTCTTACCATTAAATATAATGTTATCTGTAGTATATTAGTAGATGATCTTTATAAAGTTGAAGACATTTTCCTCTATTCATAATGTATTGGGAG